GGCGTAAGCAACGTTATACTAAGCACAGAAAAAGATGAAGCTGCAGTTTTGAAGGAAATGAAAGGCAGGCAAACAAGAAAGGAATCAGAAATTTAATTAAGCACCAAATTTATTTTATACCAACATCGCTCAGAATGACTTGTCCGTGCTTTTATCCACGCAAGGTAACCATTTGTACTTAAAAGTAAAAGTATTTAAGTATTTTAAAATACTGCTTTCTTTGGTAAGGGGGTGTGAGTAGCTTTCTATGACATGGAAACTTAATTGCACTTGTGGCTGAACCATAAATTTAATTTTGTAACTTGACTTTCCTTGATTAATTACTATAACTAATATAACTAGCATAGGTATATGCTAGTTAGGCAGGTGTTGTTTAAAAACTTTAAAGATATCATTGCAGGATGTGAGCTGTTCCAAGTAAAACTGCCTTTTGCAATTGATTGATAGGGATCTTATCTCTGCTGATGCTGTTCAAGTGGGGTTCCAGATGTTTTGGGATTGCACCCACCGTATCTGTGCTTTCTTTTGGCACAGTCATTCTATTTGCAGGTCTTCGAGTTTTGTGATTCAAAGCAACTCAGAGCAGGACAAGAAATCATGGTTGGAAGTTTACAAAAGAGAGATCCAAACTAGAATTAGGGAGATTTCCTGACAGTGAGGATGACTAACCAGTGGAACAGCTGGCCTCCAGAAGTTGTGGATGCTCCATCACTGGAGGCTTTCAAGAAGAGACTGGATGGCCATTTGTCCAGAATGCTTTAGGGTCTCTTGTTTGAGCAGAAGGTTGGACTAGAAGACCTCCAAGATCCCTTCCAGCTCTGTTATACTGGAATGGAATGGAATGGAATAAGCTCACCAGTTCGATCAGAATTATTAGCTAAGTGAACTTTACACCAAGGCATCAAGAGATGCTTGTTTGCTTGCATCCCTTCCAACATATTCTAGAAAGATTATAATTTATATAAATTGAAATTTTAATTTAATTAATCATTGGGGGGAAAGCTATATATATCTTAACTTCCAAATGTCCACCACAGATTGACGTAATTTATGACATTTGTGTAAATCACAGAATCGGTGCTTTTAGATGATTTGTGACAGTTTTCATCATTTGTATAATTACAGAAAAGACCTAAAAATGTCATTTGCATAATTATTCAAATGACCTAAAGACGTCAGTTGCACAGTGACATAAATTAAAACATATCATGTAAATTATGGTAGTTCTCCAGATGGACTTATCTGTAAATATGTGGGTGCATTATAAATGAAAATTTGATCCATTGTATCTCATATTTTTTAAATTGATTTCACTGCAATGTCAAATAAGTGTAGTGCCGTCTATGGGTTATCATCAAAGTCACTTTTTAATGTCTTAGTAGTGGAATTGATTTAATCACGACTCTCAGCCGGAAAGAATGCCAAACAGATTCACGGAGTTAAAATCCCAAAATTATCTTGAGAGGTTTTTTGATGTAGACTCTTTGGGTTTAATGTAGGAAAAATTATAATATAATATTGAAGACATATCATTAACTAAAACAGGTGGGCTTTCTTTTCTATGGAAAAGATATCTGATTGATTAAAATATGTATCTTCTAGTTTTAAAATCCACAAATAGGAAAGAGGAAGAAAATCAGAAGTCAATAACTTGAAACGTGTCTCCACCGATTCAGCTTGCTTAACTGCAGCCTTATCTTGAATTAGTTTCTAGTTAGGACAGCAGTTCTATTTATTACAGTATTTTAAAGATGACAGGATTGAAAGCTAAAATCATCTGACTTGCATATCGGTTGACATTTTCAGGGTTAGATGTTATATTGCTAAATATTATAAAATAATGTATTCGTCAGATATTGCCATAAAGATAACCGGACTGTAATAAGAGATTGTTTAATTGCTAAGAAGGTAAAGGTGTTAGAACTGTTAGGATTTAATACGTTAAATTAATAGAATAGTCGTTTAGCTGGAGTTGATTAATCAGAAGAGGCAAATTTGCATTGACCAAGGTCATTTTAATCCTGAAGCCACAACGTAATAACCACCTTTGTTTGTTGAGTGAGGTCATTCTGGTTCTGATGTGCTGGAAATGGAGAAGGAAGTGTTGAATATGAACTTATTTTCTAAATGTCAACTTTAGTTTATTAAAATACGAAGAAGGTTTTCTCTACTTAGTGATGTCATGACCCCCACAAAACAATAGAAGTGCGACTCCTCGTGAGCCAATTGAACACTTCACTGGGCTGATAGCCCTGTGAGAAATAATCATACCTCTTCCCCAAAGTTATGTGACTTGTGTCATAATGTCTTCAGTTAGGCTTATCTTTAACAGCTCTATTAGTAGACGAATCATAGTTACCTTTTCTCTTCCGTGCATTTCAAAAGTTTAAAATTCAAAATAACAGATAAAAAACACTAATCCCACTTACATGCATTCTGCGGGTGCTCCAAGATGATAGATACACCGCTACATGGCAAACCAGAAGTTGCTGTTCAATCAAGCTACTTCTGAGAGATGGCCCATAGGCTTAGCCATCATTCAAGATGCCCTCTTGACTTTGCTCGTGTGATCCTGTTATACACCTGGCAGGTGATAATAGGGATGAATATGTTAAGATAAGGTAAGATAAGATAAGATAAGATAAGATAAGATAAGATAAGATAAGATAACTTTTATTGTCATTTTTATACTGTGGGCACGATGGCGCACATCAAAAATGAAATTTAGCTGCCCGCTCTCAAAGTGAGAGATACATGACGCACACACATGACATACATGACGCACACCTAAACATACTATGACCAACATATGTATAGACTCACATCCCTACATATACGTAGCAAATAAATATTAAATATTGTTCATCTTGAATATATAATGGAAGGAGGAAGCTTGAGAGTTCGCAAGGTTAATGCTGTATGGAATGAAACTCTGGCTGAATCTGGATGTTCTGCTTTGGATACCACGAAACCTCCTCCCAGAAGGTAACAAGGAAAACAGGTCGTGAAGAGGATGTGTATTGTCCCAGACAATCTTATGGACCCTGCTCAAGCAGCGCTTCTGTGTTATGTCCTGGATGGGAGGGAAGGAGCTGCCAATCATCTTTTCTGCCATCCTCACCACTCTCTGCACCGCCTTCCTGTCTGAAGCAGGGATGCCTCCAAACCAGACTGTGATGCTGTATGACTGGACCGACTTTTTAAACAAGGAGTGGATCTCTCCCTTCAAGTTGCTTACGGCCTCTTGAGGGATCATGGCACACAGTTTGAGAGCCCAGATCTAGAGGAGCTGGAAACTTTCTCAGTTTTGCAAAATCGGATGGGATTAAGGTGGGAGGATGTCTTGTTGATAAGCTGACAAACCTAAAGTGATAGCAACCGTAGCAACAGCGCTGTGCATGGCTCAGAAGACTTCTGAGGAAATTCTACTGACTGAACAGGCCAGTAAAAACTAACGTGTGAGAGATGATGGAGAGAGGCTGAAAGGAAGCCGAAAAGAGCAGTAGGCATGAACAACAATCAATGTTTTGCAAAAATGGGAAATAGTATAGACAAAATGGTGGTTCTACAGAATGAGATATGAAAGGCCATAAGCTCTTGAACGCTTCAGATTGTTGCTGGCGAAGGAAAGAGAAAAACAGAATTTTCATGTCTTCTGCAGGGATTTGACGGTCACGGAAGAAAGAAATGGTGAAAGAGGCTTGCAAATATTCTTGGAAAACTTAGGAGACTTCCAGATTTTCCACCATATAAAAGGTGGAATCATGTTTGGGGCTACAGCCAATACTGAACTTGGAGATTCCAGATGTGGAAAAACTGAAGTGGGAGCTTCCAGAAGATTATAACCAGACTTGGAAGCCATGCCTTCAGCGAACAGCTTCTACTTACAATGAGAATGGAATATTTTTTATAAACTTTAACAATTTTCTTCTTATGGATATTACTCATATTTCCCAGAACTGAGAAAAGCATTGAAGACATGGGAAATATCTTCAAATCTCAGCCCGTGAATTAATCTGAAATGTGCCTAATTTTAATTCTTTAAGGCTTTTAGGACAGTGTGTGGATAGTTTTTACACAACGTTGTTCTCAATACACCAGCTGGAGATTTTGCTTCAAGGCTGCCATAAGGGCCACTTCAACCCACGTGAAGAAGGGATTGGGATAGATGCAGCAACATATCATTCTGATAGATTATTTCAGATCAGACTCCTTATTTACTTATTTATTTTTCTTCCACTGTCATTTTTGAGGGAAGAATCACCATTAAGATCCATCAAACATGAAGGATCAAAGAAGCTCCCTACTAGAAATGTTATAATTTTGTTCTCCTATCCAAACATCTGGTAACCATATTTTCTTAAAGGGATTATTTACTGCAAGAAGTTGGGAGAAGTATTTTTTTGGCAAGAAGTTTGGCTGGAGGCCCACTTTGGATCAGGTATTTATTCCAGATAAACTCCTCCTTTCCTGAAAAAAGGACAACTTAAATATCTCTTTAAAACAGTGTAGGATGTAATTTGACTCAGAAAATACATTTTATATGTGCCTAGATCAATCTCTGGCAAATCCTTGTTATCTGATGCAGTGAGGTTTACTTAAATTAGCCTGGCATAACATTCGGAGGCCTTTATAGATGTTAGTCTGAAACTAACAATTTGAAAGAGACACTTCCTGCTCCAATGCTAATATTATTTTAAAATCATGAATATTTTTGCACTTGTTTTTACATAAATGTGTCCTTCAATTTGAAAGATAAGGCTTGCTCAGCTTTACGCAAAAAAATTCATAACTGATCAAAAATGTAGTAAAGAATCTTGGTTTTTTTCCATTTCATTGTTTTGGGAATAACGAGGATGCTGTGTTTTGAATATACTCTGGAATGCAAACAGTTATAAATAATCTATAACGTAAATTCTTTGTTAATATTCTAAAAAAGAAAAAAAAATCACAAGAAATGAATCTTTTTACCATCTCCCAACCCATTTTTTTCCTTTTAGGATATCCATTTTTTTCCTACTTTTTGATGATCAACCCCAGTAACGAGACCACGTTATGCCTTATGAAGGATCTGTTCTGGAGTCAGGTAAGTCAGCTGTTATCTGGAGGTTAGGATTCAGAATATTCCTAGTTTATTAACATTATTTGTAAAGGTAATGCATTTATGTTTTATTACATTTGCAAATCGCCCAGTTAATAGGACTCCTGGCAGTTAAAAGAAATTAAAGAAAAGAAATAAGCTTTAATAAAGCTACCAGGAATTAATTACCAGAGGCAGTCAATAAAGTAGCATTGAGAAGATGACACAACTTCAAGATAATAAACCCAATTTGTATTTTTAGGAGGTAGGTAGATGGATAGGTAAACATTATTACTGTTTACCTGCTGGAACTCTCCTTTATTCTTTATTCTTTAATAAATTTCAATAATGTTCAAGCAATCTTGAAAGTCTGGCCGAGAGGGAGGCGCTTCCCTCCTCCTAAATCAAGTAGAGCCAAGGTGAGCCATCTTGAATTTCCCCCTCGCTTCTTCCTTCCTTTGTGGGCTGAGCTAAGGCGAACATAAGGGCAGCTGGATGCATTTTTCTCTACAGTTTGTTGGCAAATTTCTGTAGGGCAGATTTATGAGGTTTAGAATAGAATGACACCGTTGGAAGGGACCTTGAGGGTCTTCTAGTCCAACCCCCTGCTCAGGCAGGAAACCCTATATACCATTTCAGACAAATGACCGTCCGTTCTCATCTTAAAGCCTTCCAGCGTTGGCGCATTCACAACTATCATAGGCGCCATCATGCCAGAATCGGCAGCAATGGGTAGACGGCTAGTTTCTCTTACTCTGATTTTGTAAGCGAAGATTTTATAGAATCAAATCAATAAACCTACATGAGCAACTTAAGCCCTGGTGGCAAAGCTTGGTGGACTGACTGTGTCTGGGCAGAGATGCTACGTACGTTTGTCTGGATGGGGAGCCCAAGGAAGTCCCAGAGATGTAAACTAGACCAGGGGTAGGCAACCTTGGCTCTTTTATGACTCATGGACTTCAACTCCCAGAATTCCTGAGCCAGTCCATGAGTCATAAAAGAGCCAAGGTTGCCTACCCCTGAACTAGACCAAGAAGTTGGAAGTGGCATGAGAAATAGAGAATGTCAACCCGCTTTTAGATTGTTGTTAGATTAACGGGGGAGTGGGGGTCGGCAAGGGGAGTCGCTTCAAAATCTCAAAAAAGTAAGCAGGGTGAGATGCGGTTATTATTTGAATGGGTGACCAGGAAATCAGCAGAACATACTGAAAAGTAAAGCTCAAAGTCCCAGAAGAAGGCAAGGGGTAAGAGCTTGGTGTATGGCCAAAAACTCTCTCTGGCTTTGTTACCTGAAGGCGACTTTATTTTTCTTCGCCTCCCTTTGTGCCTGTTGCGAGAGTCAGCCCAGTTAAGGATATTCTCACCTTCCTTCCCATGTCGTTGGTTCTTGCTTTACTGTTCCAAGCAGGATCAGCCAGCAGCGGGAGTCTTAACAGTTTTTGACAAAGATACAAATTGGTTTCTAAAGCAACTCTACAGAACATGAGCAGCATCAAGTATTTCTGCGACAGTGTCTTAGGTCATACTTAAAGCATAAAAATTAACATTTAAAATGTTAGGAAAAGCTGTGAATGAAAACAGATGCATCTTTGGATCCTTTTAAGAAAAAAAAATGTGTATAATAAAAGATCCCACAGAGCAGAATACTGCGTTACAAACACAAAAAGCAAAATGGAATACAAAGATGTTTTAAATCTGCTGTGCTAAACCATTCATGGGGAATTCATTTGAAATTAAATGTATCAAAGCCCAATGGATGTACAAAATAAACAGCCTGGTATATCTTGCATTTGATCTGTTTGTTGCTATGAAAATATTGACAAAAGGCGAACGAATGGGCTTCATTTAGTTTTTATTATACTTGGCCAGCTCTGGGACCTTTTTTCCAAAAGGCAACACTCTTCCCAAATGTGAAGTTAACACATTCGCTGCAGGTCTGAATCCAAAGGCCAAACGCCGCCCTGACTTCGAGAAGTCAGACGTAGAAATTGCGACTCTGTGAAAAATACGCCCATTGGAATTTCCTGAAGTTGTGTTTCTTTGCCTCTGAATGTTATCTGAGTTTCTTGTTGTTCTGTATGGAAAATGTCCTACTTGATCAACAGCCTGGAGGACTAACCAGTTGTGTTTGTGGTTGATCAGAGGGCTGATCCATACTCCCGCCCTGGCCTTGGCACAGAAATTGCATTGCCATTTTTTGGGGGGGGGCTCAATCATGAAGCCACTATCCTTAGCCTTACGGAGGGACGTTGATCTATCTTCTATATCTCCCACATCACTCCATACCTTTCCTACATGAAACAGTCACCTGGAGTTTTGTTTGTGTTTTTGGAGACATAGGAACATTGATATTCCAGAAGATTAATAGAACCATGTCAAGATCAGTATTCTCAAGTTCAGCAATCCAACAGAATGAAATTTAATATGGAGAAAAGTAAGGTTTTGCAGCTAGGCAGGAAAAACCAAAGGCACAAGTAGAGATTAGGCAAAACCTGGCTCAAAAACAGTAGCTGTGAGGGGGGCCTTGGGGTCCTAGGGGACGGTCACTTAAATAGGAGCCAGCAGTGTGCGGCGGCAGCCAAAGAAGCTAACACAATCCTTGGCTGTATAAACAGAGACATAGAGTTGGGATTGTATTAACTGTTAGCACCACTTTATTAACTGCTGCACCCAGTTTTGTCCCTGCACTGCAGGAGAGACATTGAGACTTTGGAGAGGGTGCAGAGAAGAGCAACTAAGATGATTGGAGGCCTGGGGGCTTATACATATGAAGAACGATTGCAGGATTTGGGTTTGGCCAGTCTAGAGAAAAGAAGGACGGGGTGTGTGTGACATGATAGCAGTATTCCAGTATTTGAGGGGCTGCCACAAAGAGGAGGGGGTCAGTTTATTTTCCAAAGCACCGGAGGGCAGGACAGGATGGAAACCAATCAAGGAGAGGATGAAGGAGAAACCTCCTAACAGTGAGGACAATCAACCAGCGGAACTGCTTGTCTTCAGAAATCGTGGGTGCTCCATCGCTGGAGATTTTTAAGAAGAGGCTGGACAGCCCTTTGTCTGAAACGGTCTAGGTTCTCCTGCTTGAGCAGAGGCTGGACTGGAAGACCTCCAAGGTCCCTTCCAGCTCTATTCTATTCTGAAACAAAGCAAGCAGGAGGTTGCTCTTGACTGAGATGATTTCAGATGCAGTGAGCAGGAGAGGTGGGGGAGCCCAGAGTCCTTCCTTTCTCTTACTTGGCCAAGAGGCAGGTCAGACACCCAGAGGGCCCTGCGGGAGCTTCGGCAAAGGGGCTGAATGCTGCTTCTAGATCTCCCTTGGAACCGCCTCCTGATGGCTCTAAAGAAAGGATAGGAAGTGGGGAGGAGGGGGGGGCTTGCCCCGTGGCTCAGGGAAGTAGGAATGCAGGAGTAGCCCCAGTTGTCTTGGGGGAAAGCTGGGTCGGCTTCTCGTGGCTACCAAGAAAGAAGGTGAGGCTTTCTGGAGGGCAGAAATCTGAAAGGTCACCGGACATTGCCCCAAAGGGCCTATGGATGGACGGAGGGAGTAATGAACTGATGGAGCCATGGATGAATAACAATAAGCTGAAGCCCGTCATGAGTGACGGATCTGACCCTCCAGCCAGCACATCCAGTTCAGGCCCTTCACGCTTCATTTCTGCAAAGAACTTCCTGGTGATTCTGCAACAGATTCCACCTTCCTCCTCCTCCTCTCCCAGAAAGCAGCCTTCAAGTGGGATTGTTGTTGGATGCAGAGCTCAAGTTCTAAAGGCTCCCAAAAGCCTGTGAAAAATATTACTCTCCCCCCCCTTCTGCCCCCCCCCAAATACCTGAGATGTTTTGAAAGTTGCTGGCGGAGGCAAAGAGTTTAATCCAGCCTTGGGTGCGTTTCAGAGTTTCTGAAAGTTTAGGAAGGAAGGAAGGAAGGAAGGAAGGAAGGAAGGAAGGAAGGAAGGAAGGAAGGAAGGAAGGACTGCCAGCTCAGGCACTGAGATAAATGCTATATTTGAACAACTCTCTTAGGCAATACCTGGGGACTTCAGCAACTGTCCTCGGGGCATCTAAATTTAGTATTTTGAACTTACACACACTAATCTCCTAGACAAAGGGTTGAAAGCCAATTTGATGTAGTGGTTAAGGCACCAGCTAGGAAGCAGAAAACCACGAGTTCAAGTCCCACCTTAGCCATGAAAGCCAATTGGGTGACTTTGGGCCAGTCACTGTCTCTCAGCCCAGCCCACCTTGTTGTTGTGGGAAAATAGGAGGAGAAAGATGTGTTGTTGTTGTTGTGAGAAAATAGGAGGAGAAAGTCGTGTTGTTGTTGTGGGAAAGTAGGAGGAGAAAGGTGTGTTGATTAGGTTCACCATCTTGAGTTATTTGTAAAAATAATAAAGTGGGATACAAGGTAAATAAGTATAAATACGAATGAATAAATATAAATGAATGAATGAATAAATACAAATAAATAAAGAAATGGTGCCCCTTCAAAGCTGTTCCACGAAGCCGTGTTGCAGTGAGCCCACGTGCTTTGCCTCATTCCTGAGGGGTCTCCGCTGACGGGGCCAGCTTCTTCTCCAGGAGCTTCTCCTAGTCCTCCTGGAGGTGAACAGCGGCTGGAGAACGGTGGTGGCTACTGGCGCTAGGAATGTTCCGGACAACCCCTTCCTTTCTATGGGACAAGCGCCTTGCCAAGGCAGAGCCAGTGCTGCGTGGGATTTTACAACAAGTTCTGGGCAATGCTGATGCACGATTGTGCTGGGCCGTTGGTACTCGGACCTCGGGGTTCAGAGATCATAGATGGGGGGGGAATAAAAGTTTAATGATGTACTCCTGACCCAGCTGGGAGCTCCTGGAGCAGAAGCCGAAGAGATGAGGCGAAAGCCAGGCTGTTACTTAACCCTTTGGGGACCTTGGCTAATTTAAGCAGGGAGCGTTCTCATCAAGCAAAAGTGCAACCAGCTTCACTCCTGCAAATGTTGGAATCTGCTCTTAGTGACCCTGAGAAGGAAATAGGAGTTTGTAAACTACCCTGCAGGAAGAGAGAAAGCGTGTGTGTGTTTGTGACTCAAGCCATCTTTTCTCAAAAGACTCTTGGCCTTGATTTAATGCTCCCACTTGACTTATGCTTTGTAACCTCACTCTGCTCCCGATGGTATTTCTGGATCTGGGTTTTTCCTGACAGATGGAGAGCAGAATGGGAATCAACCCAGCATTCGCACAGAGGGCTTTAGGGGTGGCCTGGGGGCTTTAGGGCCTCTGTGTGGAGATACAAGTCAGGCAAAGAGAAGGTTGCCACAGAACAGCACCATGTTTCCACCTGTTGTATTAGCATTCCAGGCAGGGGGGGTGGGGTATATTTAAAAATATGCAGGGATATTTTGTGTGCTCAAAGAGATCAAATAAGCATTTTGCAGCTGGAATTTTGTGGGGCACCCTTACTGGGGACAAATCCACGAGGGGCCCCATTTCAGCCTAGTGCCTGCCCCATCTCCCGTGGCGGGTGCCCCACCCGCCTGGTCTTCCGCCATCTGTTTTAAAACCATTGGTACAATTCATACGTTTCTGACAGTGACTCTTTCCTCATTTTTAAGGGATTTTTGTAAAAGTTTTACCTTCAGAGCCATAGAGTTGTTCTGAAAATCTTTTTTATCAACTTGCGTATAGAAAGAAAAGTATCTTCCAACCACAGGCAAATGCTTTTTCAACAGCGTTCTGGGTCGGTCCCTCCCCCCCCCCTGAGGAAATAATGCAGAATAGCTGAATGTTTAATGCTGAGAATTGACATATATACAAAGTTTAACCCACAACATGTGTTTGGCCAGTTTTTCCTCTGCCTGCAACGTTGACTCTCGGCCTCCTTTGGCTTCTGTGTGTTTGTTAACATTAGAAATCTGGCAAAGATGC